GCAATCTTGGATGTAGGTCCTTTGTCTTTCAGGACTTCAAATACTTCTTTCCAGCCCTTCTTGCCTGTAAGTTTTCTTTTGAGAAATAGCTGATAATCTCATAGGCACTCCTTTGTAGGCAATTCTCTCCTTTTCTCTTGCTGCTTTCAGGATTTCTCCCCTTATTTTTAATCTTGGCTAGTGTAATTATGATGTGCCTTGGTGTGTTCCTCCTTGGGTCCAACTGTTTTGCGACTATCTGGGCTTCCTGGACTTCCTGGAAGTCTATTTCCTTTGCCAGAATAGGGAAGTTTTCCTTCATTGTTTGTTCAAACAAGTTTTCAATTTCTTGTCCTTCCTCTTCTCCTGCTGGTATTCCTGTGATTCAGATGTAGGAACATTTAAAGTTGTCCTGGATGTTCCTAAGCCTCTCCTCATTTCTTTGAATTCTTGTTTCTTCATTTCATTTTAGTTAAATATTCATTTCTTCCTTTTGTTTCAAATCATTGATTTGAATCTCAGTTTCCTTCCCTTCACTGCTGGTTCCCTGTTCATTTTCCTTTATTTCACTTTGTATAGACTTCACTTCTTCCTTTATTTTGAGACCATACCAAACCATTTCTGTGAGCATCCTGATTACCAGTATTTTGAACTCTGCATCTGACAGGTGGTCTAGCTCCTTGTTGCTTAGTGCTTTTTCTGGAATTTTGTTTTGATTTGTTCTTTCTTTTGGGCCATATTTCTTTGGGCACACCTGTTACATTGTAATAGGTGGAGCCTTAGGTATTCTTAGGGAATAAACCCTCTTTGCTTCATTGTGTTGCTGTCTGTGGGGGAGGGGTCAGAGAAGGAACAATGCTGCCCCTTTGATCTGCTCTAGCCCCACTTTCTGTCATTTCTCTTCCTTCCCACAAGTGGATTGTGCCCTTTCAGGTGCTGATTTCCATTTGGTTGGGTGAGTGTATGTTCTAGGATCCTGTAGGCCTCTCCAGTGGACTCTCTTGTGAGACTGGGAGTTTCTCCCACCTTTGCCACCTCCAGAGGATTTTATAGCCAGAGGTTTTGAGTCTTTAGTTTCCTAGCCAGCCATCCCCCTGTCTCAGCCATGCAGTCTTCCACCTGCCTCTGTCCTTTCCTCCTGACTGCCCATCTTCACCCCTCCCACTGGTCTGGATGAATGTTTCCTTAACTCCTTGGTTGTCAGAATTCCATGCAGTTTGATTTTCTGGCAGGTCTGGTTTGTTTGTTTGATTGTTTGTTTGTTTGTTTGTTTTAATTGGCTGTTATCCTTCTTTTGGTTGTGCAAGGAAGCAAAGCATTGCTACCTACACCTCCATATTGTCAGGAACTCCTATAGAGGTTTAAATATGGCAAAATAATCAAACTGTCAGTCAACTAACTATTTTTCATGTGTTGCTACTTTAATTGTATCTCTAGATACCTTTAACTATACTTGCATTTCCAACCCCCTAAAAAAAGTCTGTGGCCTTTTATTTTTTACAAGCTTCCTTTGTAATCAACTGAGATCAGATAAAAATTATTAATTCATTCTAACAGTAGTTTTCATATCTTGCTAACTTTTAAAAATTACTTTGGGATTCTTTTCCAGATACTTGATTATTATTAGCAGAAAATCATATGACTGCATTAGATGACATCAGCTAATCCTCCAAAGCAACTGTTTATCTCCAATTTGGAAAGAAATCAACACTTCAGGCCTCCATGCAGAGAGAGCACACAATATGCTGTAACCACAGTAATTAAAATTTGTTAGCATATCTCTAATATCTACGGTCTCATCTTACTGTTATTAAAGTTAAAAAAATTCACAAGGGACTTCTACTGACATGAGCTCTATCTAGCTATGTGCTTTTGTGAATGGAGTGGTATAAAAATAAACAATAGTAAACAACCCAGTGCCCACTCCCAACACACTCAAAGCATGCTCAAAAAGGAGGGTGGTTGGAGCATATCTGTGGCTTCACTGGGTTTAATCATCTTGAATTACTTTCAATTGTGTTTTGTTGTGGTTTCACAAGCTTATCTACCATGTGAACCAGGAAGCCAAGCACTAAAAAAGGATATAAATACAAACATATACATTCCTCAGCCCCTACTGTTACAAAATTTAAATATGTTGGAAACCATAAACACAATAGCCTCAATTTATTAAATGTCTATGGTGCCTTAGGCAGTTTACATATGATAACCTAACCCTTTGGTCCACCCAAATCTTGCAAGGCAAGATTTTACAATGTCCTTATTTTACCTTTTCTCTTATTTGGGACTCACTGTCCCCATGAAGACAATTTGCTTCAGACAAAGCTGACTCTCATCTCCATAGCTCTGGAATCCACCCTACCTCTGTAGTTACAGGAGTCAGTTTGGGTTTCTTTTATAGTGCTGGTAGCAGCAGTACTAGTAGTAGTAACCAAAAGGACTCTGATGACAGGATAATATTCATCCTCCAAAAGGAATAACATTTTCTTAAAGAAACTTGGCTTCTTTTTCCATCATTTTATATTTTTAGACATTTAGAAAAAGCTTAGCTGCTTTCATAATACTAAAGTCTGAAACTTTCTTAAATAAATTATTTGTTTGATGAATGATTATCTGAACAAATGCATGAATAATGAATAAATGATTGAATATGAGAGAATTTCTCTCTTCCTATATAGATCTTACTCTCATGCTGAGATATATAATTGACAAAAAAAGAAACAAGTAATAAGTGACTATAATTCAGATATTTGAATTTATTTCATTTTTCTTAGCCCATTGATGTTAGCTTGCTATCTTTATATTCTACAGTACATCATACTAACTTACCCTCTCCCCTGCTTGACATTATTTGAAAATCATACATATCTGAGTTCAGTTGCCTAGTTCCCAGAAAGTCAGAAAGAAATGAGTCCCACATCTGACACCACTCCTATGTAAGGTCACAAGAGAAGGAGAGATTGGACAATAGGATGTGTTTTGCCTCAATTTACTCATAGCAATCAAAAATGCAATAGATCTTGTCCAACTGCCAATGGTAGTTGTTAAAAGCATTAGTGCTATGACTTAAAGACATTTTTCTCCGAGGAAGCCCAAGAATGTGTAGCGGTGACACAGAGCTTGAGGGGAAAAGGTGTGGTGGGGAAAAAATAGGTACTTTAAAGACATTAGTCACGCAGACCTGCTGAAGATCCCTCCTCTCCTGACTGGTAACTACTCTGCTGAGAGGAAACCAATTCTCACATTTGAAGTGGGAAATGACTATAGAGAGGGAGAAAATGGTTATTTATTTCCTGACCCTGCCAACTTCCATATTGTTCCCTTGCTGTGTCATAGTCACAGACTTACATAATGACAGGAAAAATAATTTCTACTCTTCTCGTTCAAGGAATAATTTTATTGATCTACATTTTATCTTTTTTTTCTGTGATTCAGCAGATCAGAACAGCCTCAGTTCCCAGATGTGCATAGGATTAAAATGTCTACAAGTTAATGAAGAGGAGAAGAAATGTATTTCAGCACCAAGGAGAGTACCCTGTTATTTTCAAATGGTTTTAGACATTCAGAACTGCATATTATTCATGAGACTAGAAAGAAACTTTGAAATGCAGTTTGATAGAAAACTGCTAAGAACTTATTTCACACATGATAAAAATTCTAATCATTTATGTAAAGTAAGAACTTGCTAAGGTACATGTTCATGATTTCAACCACGTGCTATGCAATTTTTTAGCTACCAATGCAATGGAATTAGAGAATCTTTGACTATTGCCAGATATCAAAATAACAGTTCCTGAATGGAGCTAGACTGGAGGGAGGTTCAGTAAAATCACAGAAGTGTTACACTAACAGCGACTAAAATCTCCATGAGAACAAGTCCTAATGTCTTTCTCACTTCTGTATCCTAAAAGCTTGGCCCATGGTAAGTGCTCAGTAAATATTTATGTGAGTCAAGTAAGGACAAATGTATTGATGAATGACATTAGTTAAGTGACTGGGGGTGAATTCATAAATGCCTCACTTATAATGAAAAGTCACTTTTTGCAACTGGTGTCAGAGATCCTCACACACCACACTGCTCAGCCAGAAACTTGAACACATATATACTTAACCTCTAGCAATGCAGTCTCTGGATCTCAAAAACATCATGCTCCAAATCACATCTTTTATCTTTACTAAGCTTTCATCTAAGGAAAGGGTTCTTCTTAGAGACCTGGAAAGGTTATTCAGGTTTCAACCCATGTAATTAATATTACATCTCCAGGACAGCATGGCCTCCACCCAACTGTAGCTCCTCCAATATTCAGGGTGACCAGTCAACCTGGTTGTGCCCTATTAACAGATGGACAGCACACAGGTGCAGGAGGCTACCTCTCATCCTCTTCCATGCAGTCCACTGGTGGCCCATGACTACTTGTTCCTATTCCCAAGCAGCCCAGGGAGGCCCTTCCTTCTGTGCCAAGACTAGAAACCATCAGGCCTTGTTCTGCTGTGGAATCTTCAAGGGTCCAGAGACATCTGAGCCCTGCTGTGCTGGAGACAAATGACAAGATTGCAGTTCTGCTCTGAGTTGCCACTATAGAGGGCATGGGGTCACCCTGGCAGGTTTAAAGGCAAAGAGGAAAGATGAACAAGTAAAAACCGTGTTTAAACAGTTGTTTCCAATAGTCAGAATGTTATGAAGATTTCTCAGACCTCCAAGTCCCTTTCCCTTGTTAATGACTATTTGTGTAATGAAACTGTGAGCGAAGTCGAGCCTCCTAGCTCCTGGGTAGCCACAGACCCAGTTCTCGGCTCCACTCTACTTGGACTGTACTACCAGGCCCCCAAAACAGGGGGGAGCTGCCCGGGAAGCACTGATTTCCATTTCAAACTGTATTCTGGTACTTTGTACTCCAGCACCATTGGCCAATCAATATTTAATGCTCAGAGATTCTGGCTCTGCGTGAGTCATGTCAGGGGACCTTGAGAGCCAATCTGCTTGAGCTTCTGTGTAATAATTATTCATGGGCTCCTGCCTCTTGATCCTTCTCTCGCACGGTCTCACTCTGCAGAATCAGTGCCTTATTCAGTCTTCTCTCGCTCTCTCTCACTGCTGCTGCTGCTGCTGCTGCTGTGGCTGGACTCTGCCTTCTCACCGCTCAGCATCTGCACATCCCTACAATGGCTAAAACAGCGATGGGTAAGGTAGTGCATGGCTCTCCCTGAGCTTGACCTGGAGCCCACCCTCACCTCTTAGAGCTTTGAAGGCATTGGGAGATATTTTATTTAAAAAAAAAAATTAAGGGTAACACAGAAACCAAAAAAGGACGGTTGGGAAAGGCCAAGAAGAAGGGAGGGTCCTTGGAAATCTAAAACTAAGAATTTCTTTTTAAAAGTTAAAGCAAGTAAATTGCCTTGTCATGGGTAGGGAATTATGTTGCTTATTTAAAATTAAGGCTTAGTCGTCGGGGTGGGGTCTATCTTTACCATTTGCCTTAAATGGGGATAAAGGAAATTTTGGAAAGTGCTTTGTAACATCCTTTATTTCCTATCTAGTTTTTTTTTTAAGAAAAAGAAAGAAAATGAGGAAGAGAAAGGGGATGGGAGAAAAGAAAAATGCCAAGTCAAAGCGGTCCCATCTCGGCTGTTTGAAAGATGGGTGGAGACAAGGGGTGGGTGGAGGACGAGCAGATTTTATGGTATTGTCTCACGGGTTGGAGAAACCGCTAGCCCTAAGACGCAGCAGAAGGGAAGGGCTGGGGTGGGAACCAGGCTCCTTTGTTTTAGGGAAAAGAGGATGGAAATCAAGGAGGGCACAGAGGGCGCGGTGGGCAACTGCAAGGGTGGGGACTCGGGAAGGAAGGGTTGGAGGGACAACGGTTTCCAGGGCCCCGGGGGTGGGGTTTCTTTGTGTGAGGACGCATGGTCCCTGGGCAAAGCACCTGCAGGCTAGTCTCACAAGGCTGGCGGCCCCACCCTGTGTGGATCCTCGCCAGCACCCCACCCTCCAGCCTGTGCAGTGTCTTCAAAAGAGAGAGGGTGGGGGCGGGGGGGGGGAGCGCCAGCAAGACTCCCGGGAGCCCAGCCAAGGGGTACACAGTGCCACGCCCGCGCAGGGCGCTCCTTGTCTTGGGAGTACGACCTCACTATTGCTCTCTTCCCCATCCTGGCCTCATTGTTCTGTTTTACAGGGAGGAAGCGGGGATGAAGGAGTGGGTTAACATTTTTCTTTTCGAAACCACGTTACATAGGGTGATTAGGCATAGACACAGATAAAGGCTTCTTTGAACTCCTTTGATTGTTTTAAGGAAAAGCTTCTGGAATCTAGAAATGTATATATATAACAATACAGATAGAAAAGAGGTCAAGGTCTTAAATTGAACAACATGAAATATCCATTTTATAGGTCAAACAGGGCCAAATATTGGCAATTTTCATAGGTTCAACCTAGATCAGGGAAGCAGACAGTGGAGACAGAGCCTGAGAGAGATTCCGCATCCAGAGCCTCCATCTCCAGCCGGCCCTGTGTCTCAAGTGCCCCCTGCTCCCAGGACTTGTCGGCCCTGGGTTGGACTTGCAGGGAGGAGACCGAGGTTGTTGGCTGGAAGCTGCCCTCTCCAGGGACCTGGTGCGGTGAGCAGCTGGGAAAAGCAGTGGGCTGGGCCCCAGGCAGCTCCGCCCTTGCCCCACCCTCTGTGCGGAGCTGGAAAGGCCTTGGGCTTGGAGTCTTGGCGGGGAAGGGGGGCTTCATGAGGAGGGTGGGGAGAAGGCGGTCGAGGCTCTGCAGTCCTAAGACCCCTTTTGCAGCTTGGCAGCCTGGAACCTCCTGGGCCCCATCCACGTGCTCAGCCAACCCGCGACACACTGCAGAAAGGTTGGCTAGAGACCCTTCTGACCACACAAAGGCGTGGCCCCACCCCAATCGGTAGAAGACCATAGAGGTGACCGCTGCTCAGGGGTCGGGGCAGCGTTCTCTCACCTGGGCTCCTGCAGCTCAAGCCCACTACCCACTTTCTATTCTCCCGGAGTTCCCTGAATGGGGACCCCTTGGGCAGCCTCCCTAAGAGGGACTCTCGCTGTTAGAGCCAGACGCGGCTCTGCCCCACCCCTCCCAGTTGGGTCTAGACCCGACAACCGCGGTCCTGTGGGGGCGCACTTGGTGCTGGCGCATGGAGCGCGGCCAGCCCTGCAGAACCCCCACCCGGGAGCTGGGCGCTCGCCCCCCGCTGGTGCAGCAGGGGAGACTTTTCTGCGCAGTGTCCTGAGTTACCCCTGCTTCCCACAATTCGAGGTTCATTCGCAAGTCTAGGAAGGTTCTGGGAATGGGGGATGGGGGCGATCAGGCTCTGCGTGCTCAGCCTAAAGCGCTGAGAGGTTTCTGCCTGGATGGTCGCAGGATGGTGGTTGGGGGGGGGGGGGAGGGTGCGGTGGGCGGTCACCGAGGAGAACGCAGCTACAAATTCGTCATCATCAGCGTTAGCGTTATAATCTTAAATCATCATTATTTTTGCTTCATGATTCAGTGGTCTTATTTGTTCGAAACGTTCGAATGACTGCATTTGGTTAAGGATTAACTCATCATACACACTCTTCTCTCTCCTACTCCTCCCTTCCCCGCCTCACCCCCAAGAAGGAATTCTGTCTCCAGTCACTCATTCTATGTTATTAAGCAAACGTATTTTCAGGCTTTTTCGAGATTATGTATGTGCATGTGGGTCGTATATATGTGCAGGTGCATGCTAAGGGTAGGGCTTGCGTGATAAAGAATGATGGAAAATTCTCCGCAGAGAACTGCGGCTGCATTGGGTGAAAATATGCATGTATAATTAAGATATTGGGATCTTCAGCATGTATTCCATAAGGTTATATGTATAAATAAATATAGGTTAGGAACAAAATGTTAACTTTTTCCCCAAAACTGTTCTTCCTATTGCCGATTCTTGATATGGTCTCAATTCTACACAGAAACATGGTTAGTGAAATGGTAGCCAGCATGTCATTAATAAAAACCCCACCCCAAATATGACAGATGCAAGGGTCCTTTCTGCCAAAAGTGGACTGTTTCTGCAAATCTTGAAGAGAAGCACAACCTCCCCAATATCAATGGATTTTGAAATCATTCCAGTTGCAAAACATAATCGATTAATTATCAGGAAGGGTGCTTTTTCCTGATTCATTAAACAATTATTGTATTCAGCATGATTGCACTAGGTGCATAGAATATACCCTATACCTTCTCTAATGAAGTAGGTGGCTTCTAAATAGTTAAATAATAGAAGTGGGAAAGATCAGGGTTCAGTTGTGATTTCAGGATAAAAATGAAAGAAATAGCAGTCACTTATCAATTAATCATACAGAACGTATTTCTTGCTGGGTGAATAAGCTGAGCCTGCAACAAGCACTGTGTGACCCCATGCAACACAACACAAATCACCCGTGTGATGGTATAAACACTGGGGGTGTTGCCCTATGTTCAAATTCTCTGAAAGAAAGTATACTATATTTTAAAATAATAAATTAAGATTGGGTGGTTAGTAATATTAAAATACAGAATTTTGTTTAGCCAAAATTCACAGTGGCTTTGTGATGTGATTTACAGGTTTGTATTGACTTATGCCAGTCTAAGGGGGAAGGGAATATTTTTATTGTTAGAGAAATTGCTTCTGCCCTTATTAACATTTTTAGTAGGGTTTTATCTGTTGCATTAAAAACACCTTTTCTTACTTTGAGGGGGTTTTCCCACTATTAGTGAACAAATTATGGGATAAGCATTTGATCAGTTGGCCCAATATGTCTTCATCCTCAGTGATGGAAATGCTGCAGGCAGGGGGCATTGTACTCAGATTCAAGAAATGCTCTCTCAGAGTGCCAGAAAGCCAAGTCACACACAAAATACTTTTCCTCCCTATAATTTAGGGTCAAAATATCAACTTAATTCTGTGAATATTTAGTACTTGGTATGGATCATAATTGTAAGTTAAATCTGTACAATTAAAATTAAATGGAAGATGAAATCAATTATATATTTAATTGGGGATAGTTCTTATTAATAAATCCAGATCATCTTTAGAAAAAATTCCTGTTTTATGAATCATCGTTGTTTCTCATTCCAACAGAATGAGACTGACCAAGTACCCTATTCCTCCCCAGTAACTGGATGCTCACCTAAGGCTGGTTACAGCTGGCCTCCCAGCAGGTGGCTGCCTGCTCTCTGTGTGACCACCACAAGCTGCTACTAACAACTCCAGCTCACTCCAATTTCCTCTTTGGTTTTAGAAAAATAAACTGTATTCTGTGGTCACACATGTGAGACCTTATGTGGAAAATGCAAGAAATTTGCCAAACAAGGGGAAAAATACCAAATTAGCCAGTGACCCAGATGTTTTCAGTAGGAGGTTGGTTTCCTTTACTAATTCTCTCAATTGGAAACCTTGGAGTCTGCATTAACTTTTCCTCCCACTAGAGGGCAATCAAGTTCTCTAAAGAGCTAGATTAATTTAAACCCACTTCAAATACTAGTGTTTCATGAATTTTTTCTTTGTAATCAGTTTATTTGGTTGCTTATTTGATAAGTTAATGATGCTATGCTTTGTCCTAGTGGATAAAAAGGGTTGTGAACCTGGTTAATTATGTATTCTCTTACAATTTTACTTTCTAGTTTCATTACATTGTTATTGTAATATTTATTTTAATTGAAGCAGAGGTTGTGGATAAACAGTAAAATATGGTCTGTAGTAATAACAAAATTACTTAGGAACAGAATGTATTATTAGTGTTTAAATAAATTAATAAATTAAACAAAACAATTATTCATTTATTTAAAATATGCTCCATTCTGGGGACACACCTGAACATCATTGGCCACCTTCAGGAGTTTGTAGACTAGTAGGTAAAATAGATGCAATGTAATACTGAGAAGAGGTACCAAAAACAAACATAACTAATTTATAAGATCATCAAAAGTGGATTTTTTCATGTTTGTATTGGTAGGGAATTTGTTTCTCTTATATTTCATGTAGGTATAATGTATCTGTAAAGCATTTAATAGTTTTATATGACTGCATTCCTCAAACTTTAATGTGCATTTGAATCACCTGTGGTTTTCATTAAAATGTGAATTCTGATAAGAAGTCTGGTTGAGGCTAGCCATTCTACATTCCTTCAAACTCCCAGAAGATGCTGATTCTAATCACTAAACAC